CAATAAAACTCTAATGGATGAGTGTTTTACGACCAGAGAAAACACCTCATTGTAATCAATTCCCTCCTTTTGAGCGTACCCTTTGGCCACCAATCTTGCTTTGTAGCGAACATCTTCTTGGTTAGGAAATCCTTCTTTATTTGCAAATACCCATTTGCACCCAATTTCTTTCTTGCCCTTCGGGAGATTAGCCAATTTTCATGTGCAATTCTGATGAAGGGACTTCATTTCTTCATTCATGGAAATCCTCCACTTATCTTCTTCTAAACTTTGGACTGCGATAAGTGGTAGGAACACCATCAACTACAATTGAGGTTGCACAAGCCACCGTCTCTATGAGACGAATAAGTTTCTTTATTGTTCTTTTTGGCTTGCTGGTTGCTATTGATTCAAGTTGTTGTTGGCGTTCCTGAGTTGGAATCTCCCCTTCCACCGACTCTTCTTCCAGGAAAAATCTTCTATCGTTTCTTCGTTTTCTCCCTGTGTTGGAAAAATTAATTTTCCCTCAAACTCCACCTGCTTTGAAGCATCATCGGTTTGTTTAACATCTTCAACTGTCACCTTATTTATTATGGCAGATTCATCAAAGGTAACATCTCTACTGAACATAACTTTTCTTGTCTTTGGACACCATAATCGGTATTCTTTGACTCCAGAAGTAATCCCCATAAATATAGCTTTCTTTGCCCTCAGATCCAATTTTGACTCTTTCACATGATAGTATGTAATTGAGCCAAACACATGCAAAAAATTATAATCTTCAGCAGGTTTTCCATACCATTTTTCAAATGGTGTCTTGCCTCCAATAGTGGCAGATGGTATACGATTAATGAGGTGGCATGCATATGTTATTGCCTCAGTCCAAAATTCTTTGCCCAAGCCAGTATTGGACAACATACACCGAACCTTTTCCAGCAAAGTCCGGTTCATGCGTTCTGGCACTCCATTCTATTGTGGTGTATTTTTGACAGTGAAATATCTCAAAATGCCATCATCTTCACAAATCTTATTGTAAAGATAATTTTTGTATTCTCCACAGTTATCTGTGTGAAGACACTTTATCTTTCTGCATGTTTGAGTCTCTATCATCGCCTTCTATTTGAGAAAAATTCTCAGTACCTCATCTTTGATTTTCATAGTATACACCCACACTCTTTGGGAAAAGTCATCAATAAAGGTTACAAAATAGTATTTCCCACCTAATGAAGGTGTTTTGGAAGCACACCAAACATCAGAGTGAACATAATCCAAAATACTTTTAGTATTATGGATAGGTGTTCCAAATTTAACCCTTGTCTGTTTTTCCTTGACACAATGCTCACAAAACTCCAAATCGCAAGTCTTTACTCCTTTTAACAATCCTTGATTTGATAAACCTTTCAAGGATTTTCTCCAACATGTCCCAAGCGCATGTGCCATAGCTTGGTTGCTTCTGCCTTTTTGTCATCACTGGATGTCACTGTTGTTGTCCCAATAACTGTACTACCGCGATAGTGGTACATATTATTTCGCCGAATTCCCTTCATTACCACTAGTGCACCAGAGCATATTCTCATTACCCCATTTTCTGCAATGACTTTGAGCCCCTTTGACTCTAGGGCTCCTACAGAAATGAGATTTTTCTTCAATTCCGGTACGTATCGAATATTTGTTAATGTTTTGATCAATCCATCATGGTTCTTTAATCGGATTAAACCAATATCATATGCGGTAAGAGGATTGTTATTTGCGGTGTGAATAACTCCATATTCTCCTTCTTGAAAATCAATGAACTAGTCCTTGTTGGGATACATATGATAGCTACAAGCTGAATCCATAAGCCATATGTTAGATGATTTGAATGGCTCAGTTGTAACTAGTGAAAAATCAGAGTCGTCACAATCAGCTACATTTGAATCCATGACAGCCTTCCCATTGTTAGGTTTGGCCTTGTTTTTTAACTTTGGACAGTCTTTCTTCCAGTGCCCTTTTTCTCGGCAAAAGGCGCATTCATCTTTACTAGGTCTGGATCTTGACTTGGATCTTCCTTTCTTCATTTTCATATGATTTTGAGAACGGCCTCTCAAGACTAGTGCTTCTCCTTCTCCACTCTTTTGTTTTTCTCTCTTTCTTTGTTCATAGTTATACAAGGCAGAACAAACTTCTTTGAGAGACACTTCATCATTCCCATGAAGTAGAGTAGTTTCGCGGTGCTCGTACTCATCGGGAAGTGAACTTAATAACATTAAGGCCATATCTCCATCACTAAAAGTCACATCCATATTCTGTAAATCTGTCGCCAACTTATTAAAGCTGGTGATATGATCATTCATTGTAGTACCAGGAACATAAATGAAGCGTAACAGTCTTTTTTTCATGTAAAGTTTCTTTTGAATGTTTTTCTTCAAGAATTTATCCTCCAACGCATTCCACAATTTACTTGCAGAAGTTTCTTTTGTGTATGGATACTTTTGTTCTCTTACGAGGTAAGATCGAATGGTACCACAAGCAACGTGGTTGATAATCTTCCAATCTCCTTCTCTGATATTGTCTGGTTTCTTTTCTTCTATGGCAATATCTAGCCCTTGTTGAAAAAGGACATCAAAAACCTCAGCTTTCCACATCCCGAAATATCCTGATCCGTCAAAAATTTCAACTGCAAATTTCGCATTTGACATAATTCTTGTTATAAGCGAAGTTGCCAACGACATATTACTGATACCCGATGTGGACTCTTCATTTTTATTATCTCCCATTTTGCTACATATACTATTGATTTGCTGACAGTACAGAACACCAAAGTAATTTTTTTCTGATGTGGAAGTTCAGACTATGCTGCAGCCACAGAGCATACTAAGATAAAATCTTGGCTCTGATACCAATTGTTGCGGAAGACGAATATATAGAGAGTGATTCAATCACAACTACTATATCTAAAGGTAGGTAATAAATACTAAATGACACAATAATAAAAAGAACACCAGAAATTAACGAGATTCGGCAAAATTTAATTTTTGCCTAGTCCTCGGACAAAATCAACTCAAACTTTATTTCATTCCAAAAAAATACAAGTGAAATACTACAAGAGAGAAAGAAGATTCAAATGCCTTAGGAGATAAGAAGGCAAGTGAAAGATGTTTACAAATGAGTAAAACTCTTGCTATTTATAGAAGGGAAATGGTCTTAATAATGTCATGCATGACATCATATTAAGTGTGATTATGCAATGTAAATGCATGAAAAATGCATCTACCAATTTTTTTCAAAAAAGAGGTTTCAAATGTTCACACTATTTCACATTAATCTTGTCAAATTCAACATGACATCTCCAATGTTATTAACTTGCTAGGGGATATTCTATTAATGTACATGATTTCAGGTTGGTATATCATTTGCAAAGGTCATTCTAAACTCAATTCAACCCGGGACAGAAAAACTAGGAAGGCTTCCGGGAAGTGATTTGTTTGGAGATGTGAACCAATATCCCATGGCAATGAAGATACCTGGGGCTCTCATTGTCAGAGTCAAGTCTGCTTTGCTTTGTTTTGCAAATGCCAACTTCATTAGAGCAAAGTATGTCCTCAAACTACATACAAACTAAATCTGTTTTTCTTTGTTTCCTATTGATCTTAATGTCTTTTTGTTCTTTATTAACCAGGATTTTGGACTTGGCACTGGAAGAACAAAATGAGGATGCCATAGAAAGTGCCGAAGATAGAGTGCAACTAGTTATTCTTGACATGTCAAGTAAGTGTCCAAGTTAAAGTTCAGTTTGTTATAGACCAAACAAACGGAGAACTCGACCAAAAAGAATAGTCTATTAAGTGCGACAACCTATTTAGCTATAAAATCATTAGGTGGGAGGGCCATTTAGCTATAAACTCATTAGCATTTCATTTTTTAATGAACGAGGGACAATTGGCACATAAATTTTGCTTGTTTAATTTAGTTTTATTTATCACGGCACATTTAGCTATATATAGTTTTTCGAAAAAACTATGACACTGTTATTAATTTATATTGAATTGATGGATGTAGATTTGCTCAACATTGACACAACCAGTATAGCTTCTCTAGAGGAACTGCACAGTGAGCTGGAATCAAATGGAATGAAGGTGAGTAATCCGCTTCAATTATGTCTAATTCTTAAAAAACAAACGACAAATAACAAATTATTTAGGACTCTCTTATTGAACCTAGTTGTTGAATGTACACATGAATCACTGTTTATGTTTGGTTTTTGCAGTTGGCACTAGCGAACCCAAGGTGGCATGTGATCCACAAATTGAGGTTAACCAAATTTGTGAAGAAAATTGAAGGGAGGGTCTTTTTGACCATTGGAGAAGCCATTGAAGCATGTTTTACTAGCAAGAACATGCTTCATCTTTGAATGTGGTTTAATGCTTGTTAATTTAATATAGTCCTAAACTTCTTCAGTATGTATATATTCAAGGGAACAATAATAAAAGGAGCTAATACTAGTATTGTTGCTCCCTATCACTGAAGCTTTAGGGGAAAAAACTTGAAGATGTGGCTTTCAATCTGGCTTGAATTAAACGTTATTACTATGTTGTAACATATATGTATGTTGCAGTATGAATGTAATATATGTGAGTAATTTTCGCATACATTGCCGGCTTTGGAGAAAGCAAATATAGACTTGGCGGAGCTACAACATTAGCTACGGGTTCGAACGAACCCAATAGATTTTTCTTAGATCTTGTATTTATATTAGAAAATTCATTAAATATGTATAAATATTAAATTACAAACTCAATAACTAAAACGCGCTATGGGTTCTGGCTCCAATCCGCCAATAAGACAGCCTTACCTCCTCTCGTTGGAGAGATTGGTTCCAAGATCCAAACTGATCGAAAGCTTTTATATATAACTACGTGCAACATGTTATAGAATTAACAATCTAGAAGAGGGACTATATTCTATGAATGATATCTTCCAGAAAAATGTAACTGAACTATTTCCATAACTGAGAAAAATAAAGGAAGAAACTATTAAGTGCATAGAATCAAAGAACATCAGCTGGAATTTATTTATTGGGATGTATAAATATTTACACAAGTCCACAACTGAAAGAATGAAAGAATCAGTAACTAAAGAATACAAATTGGTTAGATGATAAGGTCAGCAGCCTTGCAACTTAGAACTTGAACAAGAAACTGGAAATAAGCATCTGGACTTTAATTTGATGTAATCTTCTTAGCTTCCAAACTATTAATCAACTTCACAGAAACAGGCACATATGCTTGAATTTTGTGACTTGAATATTTTCAAACTTATCCAAAACAATTGAACATTTGATGATGTTGCTCCAATTATCAAAGCTCTTAAAAGTGAGCAGGATCTGTTCTTCTTGTTCATCGGAAAAGTGTCTGTGAATGCTTTAATAAATTGTTTAGAGGCTTGTTTTGAGCTTTACATAAGAAATTTCTCACACCTGCAGTCATCTAATAAATTCCAATTCCAATTCCAAATATTCCAAATGTCAGAAATGGATACAAATCATGCACATAAGTATTTAAATAAGAGTTAATTCAAGTTCAACCTTTCCCAAGCTTTGCCTAGCATAAGGAACAGCTCTTTGATATCCAAAAGTTGTCGATGGAGGAGATTTCCGGCTTGTTTCTTCTCTGCAGGGTAATTTCCCTCTGCTACTACTCCTAGTTGTAATTGAAGAAGAATTTTGCCACCTATCAATCGAAGAACTTGGAATATTTTGCTGAAAATAAAATATGATCAATAAACTGTAGTTCAAGAATTAGTCAAAATTGATCCAACATAAACTAGCTTATCTTATCAAAACACATGCATATATACCACTTGGCTTCTACTTCTTGTAGTAATGCTGGATGTGCCTTGCCAATTACCATTAGACAAATATGGTATACTTGATTCCTAACAGTAGAAAAGAATCACATTAAACCATAATATATAATCAAATAACTTGGAAGATCAAATTGCAAAGTTCTGCTAAAGATAATATAAGCTATGAACTTACAAGAAATAAAACTGTTGCACAATGTTTTAGGACTTCCAAATTCATCCGAACATCGTCTAAGCTCCTGCCATTCATGAGATACAATTCAAATTATTTCGATCCAATTTCATGAAAATAATAGTAGAATTTTAACCGTTTTAATCTAACCTGTGCTTTTGCTCCCCAAGACCAAAGTAAGTTGCCAGTGATGCCATCTACAAAAAAGATAATTTAAGAAGCAATGGTCAATATTGAACTTTGTATTGACTAAGAGATAAGCATATTATTCTGAATGTGCATATATACCTTCATATTTCCAGCTCTTTTGCCAAATTTCTCAGACAAAACACCTAAAGAATCAATAATTCCAGCAGGAACAGGAGCAGGGCGACCAATTTCAGCGAAAGCTGCTTTAATACGAACACAATCAAATCTTTGTATGTTATGACCTGCCCAAATTCTACCATCCAATATGCTGAAAATCTTGTCTGCTACTTCTTCAAATGAAGGTGCATTAGCAACTGCTTTTCGCGTAATTCCATCACTTCTCCCTGGCTTTAATGCCACAACAGACAAGTCCCCTGGCTTAATAAGGGTGCAGTAGCTCTCTATCTCCACAAGCTTTCGCGAACAAATTACCATTGCACCAAACTCTAACACCCAGAATTTTTGTCCAGCTTTTGATGGAACGTTCGTTTCCAAGTCGAAAAATACAATCTCTGGTGTTCTTTTGTTGCTTGAAATGGTAGGAATTGCCATTTTCTTTTTCTTTTTGATATTCAAGTTGTAAGATAGCTTGTTTGTTTGATGGAAGTGATGGAAATTAAATGATGGTTCCTTTGTTATATATATATGAAAGATGAATGCATGGGAAGGGAAAAAAGAATGTAAAGATTAAAGAATATTCTTGCATGTGTTGAGAGACATTAATTGGTAGATTGTCTTGTAATTCAAGTTAGACAGAGTTTTAATGTTTGGACAAAGTTGTCCTTAGCTTCTAGCTGATGATGTCCTTTGTTACGGAATTCCATTTAGATAGGAAACTTTTCCTTTCCTAGCCTCCTTAGTCCTTTGGTATTGTACATAATATTAGTTGATTGCGTTGTCATTTTATAATTATTTTACTTGCATATTCCAAAATTATATTTTTTTTACATACAATCGAATTGTTTTCAAAATCAATTTAACGTGAATCTATTCTTTTATTCGGATGTAAAATTGCATTCTCTAGTAATTGAATATTTTGCCAGTATGCTCTTCGTCTTAAGTAGAATATGCCTTTTTCTATTTTAAGGAAAAATTTGACCGCTTTAAAAATTAAGATGGAAAATGAATATTTAGAAAGCATAAAAAAGTTTATATAACTTTATAAAAGTAGTTCTGAAAAGGTTTAATACTTGGTAAAGCTAAAATAGTTCAGCTCTGTAAAAGTAAAACTTTACGTTGGACTCGAGATGAACATTATAATAAAAGGAAAAATAAAACATTACATGTTTGAATAGTAATATAAAAAATAAAAATAAAAAGATACGTCTTTTATTTAACTAAAGAAGAAGGTAGACGAGTGATTCGAAAAATAAATATGCAAACACTATTGCTTTTTTGAGAAGTTAAAAATATTAGTAGTATACCAATCCTAATAGTTAGCATTTTTATTTTGTAATTAGAGTTGAAGCAAAGGGGAAGTCCAACAAGATAAGTAATTCCCTGTTCTCTTCCGTTAGATAAAACGTTACCAGAAAAGTGGGGCAAGCATGCTCACATGGCACCATATCACACGTTAACTCTTTTTTTGACCATTATGTCTCGCTTTATTTCAAAAGAAAATAAAATCAAAAATAAATAAATTAAATTATAATCATAATCCACTTTCGGTAAGGAAAGTGAAACATAAATAAATTAAATTCAGCAATGTGGTGTCGTCGCATTAATATGAAATTAAACTTTCAGGTCGAGTTCCCCTCTTAATATTAACGGCGAGAGAATTTTTATTACCAACTTCCAACTCAGGCATATAGTTAAGCAAAAGTCTAGCAAATGGGCAATTTTTTGACAGACTTTTCTACATAACCATTCATTATTTCATTATGTAATAGGAAAAAAAATGTAGAAAGGGCTATACTCCGGATACAAAAACAAAGAAATTCTATGGACTCATAATTTTGGATATCTCACACTCATTTATTTGCATTTTTAATCATCAACCAAGAATTTGCACACAAATCAACAACTTCAGAGTATAGGAACTTTCTCAAAGATCCAGGAGAAATAATCGCCAGTAATGCACTTAAGAATACATGAAAACAGAACAGGGAAGGACAGACTACAAACTAGTATACAACCTTTTGTCTGTTGGTGCATTCAAATTAGCATGCAGTAATTGATGCATGTTCTAAACTGGGACAGTAGGTTTAAGAGTAACCAATGCTTTGTTGATTCTCTCCACAGCTGCCTGCAAGGTTGAGAGCGATGCTGCATAGGAGATACGGATACATGTGTCATCCCCGAATGCATCCCCCGGGACAAGCGCTACCTGTTTAACGTAAGAGAAAGCGCAGGCGTTAGCACATGGAGAAAAGAAATGGTAGGTAGGCAAGGCCGGTACTAGCATGCATCCTAATGTAATGCACATTCACTAAACCACGAGGAACTATAGGATTCTTTTAGGATTGTCTTTCTAAATTTTGACCAATTATTAATTATATCTGCCTAACATTCAAGAATTACATTGTTAAGGAGGAAATCTTTTCTGCAGAATTCCCAGATTATATGCTCTAGTAGATTACACATTCACATGGTCAAAGACTCAAAAGTATTGAGTTGTTTGAAAGTTGCAGCATTTGTATTTTCGGAAAATTTTGTCAACAGAGTGTGATCCTAGAGTCACTTTTAGTGCAAACAACTTGTGGCCTATAGTTAAGTAAACATATGCACATCTGTCCATGTGTAATTATGTTTTTCAAAGTTCAAAAAAACGTGAATCTTACTTGAGCTTTATCCAGCAAATATCGGCAAAGAGATTCTGAGTTGTTGATGGAGCCAAATCCATCAACCTCTGCTCCATAATAAGAGCTTAAATCAATAAATAGATAGAAAGCTCCCTGCAAAAGAAAACAGAAAGTGGGCTCACTATATCCTGTTTCTCTACTTTGTAAGTCCTTAGTTCAGAAATTTTACTCTTAAGTACACTCATAATTCATATGAATGGACTGTTACCCGAGGCTCTGAAATTTTGACACCATCTATTTCCCCAAAGCTCTTGACAAGGTAATCTCGCCGCTTACGGAATGCTTTTACCATAGTTGCAACTGCTTCTCCACCAGCATAGCCCAGTCCCAGAGCAGCCACAGCTGCTTTTTGGGAGATGCTACTGGCACCTGATGTGAACTGCAACATCAGAGACACAGATTTAGAAGTGAACTCTCACATAGGGGGAAAGAGACACCGGATAATATGAAGAACTATTTAGACAATGAACAGGTCATTTACTATTTTCACTGAGTCTATAATGAATAGGTTAATTATGGCCAAACAAAAGATCATATTCAAGGAAAGTACTTGAATGCATACATTAGTCACACTCCAATAAGTATGATCGGAAGAAAACTGGTTTTGTCAATGATCATTTGTGATCAAAAGCAACATGACACATTATTTAATTAATATGCTCTAGCTTCACAAGTTTTTAGATCTTTGATTATGCCTTTAGAAGTGAGCTATACATTGTTTATTGTATAAGTTTCTTCAGCAAATCCATAATTCTCACATTATCAATGTAAAGTAATTGTCTCGTTCTCAATCGCATGCCTTTGATAGCTTAATTTTCCTGGGGCCATCCAACATGTTTTGAACTTATTCACATATACTCAAAAAATAAGATGAAAATATTCAGGTAAGTTAAAACGGATTTAGACCTTTTCTAGAAACAAGAGACTAGTGCCAAACACCAATTATTTTGCCGGGGCATACATTACCAATATATAAGAGATGAACTGAACCAACTTAACAAGTGCCCTTTAAATCCAGAGTAAGACTTCAACTAACAGGTTAAAAGTTAAAACTATGTTCCACGCAACTATTGGCATACTATTTGAAATTCTTAAAAGTGGTTTCTGGTCAACTAAGGTGACAGCATAAGGGCTTGCTGCTCCAACACAGCACTAGCAGTTATATTAGGATTTCTGTCAATCATACTAAACTAAATCCAACTATGAAATTCAGTTTCCAGACCTCTTGTTAATAAGAGTTTGAATAAGAAAGACCATTCATTTAAGTCAATATAGTTGTTAAGAATATAAAATATTACCTGGCTCTGGATCTTATTGCATGCAGAAACAAAGTGTTTAGGACCAGCTATATAACCAAGTCTCCAACCAGTCATCGCAAATGCCTACAACAATGCATATATTACAAGGCGCACCTCCAGAAACATTTCCCCATATTTGTAAAAGAAATAGCCACCACCAAAGAATTCAAGGAACACAAGGAAAAAAGTAAGGAATTATAATTTTTATGCGATGAGAGCTACATTACCTTAGAGAAACCATTTACGGTGAGAGTCCGATCCCACATACCAGGCAAAGATGCAAAGCTGGTATGAGTTGCTGGTGCATAAATAATGTGTTCGTAAATTTCATCTGATATCACCTGGAAACCAGAAAAAATATTTTTTGGGGCAGGAAGCGGGTATTCAAAATTCGGAAAACAGACTGAGATCACATTCATATTCAAGACAAGTTAGATATGATGAACCTACAAGAAGCCTCGGATGCCTAGCAACAATCTCAGCAATCTCTTCAAGCAATTTCCGAGGGTAAACAGACCCTGTTGGGTTGGATGGAGAACAAAGAATCAGAAGTCTTGACTTCTCGCTAAGNACTAAGTTTAGATTCAAGAAGCTTTGGATCTAAGAGAAAATCTTCAGATATGCTGGTCGGAAGAATCACAGGCGTTGCATCTGCCATCCTTGCCATTTCAGGGTAACTCACCCAAAAGGGAGCTGGAATAAGAACCTGTCCCAGGTATGTGGGTTAATAAGCCAACAAACTTCAGAAAGAACTACTTCTGATGTCTCAGAACTAATAAATAACTATGATTCTGTCAATGCTGATATTTGTCCTAACATCCTACTGCATAGCATCCATATTTGGAGGGGGAAAACTAAAAGATTATCCAACCTTATCTTCTGCATCTGACATTCTTTAAGATGGAGAGAAGACAAATGGATGGCATCTTCACCAAAATAAAAGTTCTTTTTTCAGNGCTAAGTTTAGATTCAAGAAGCTTTGGATGTAAGAGAAAATCTTCAGATATGCTGGTTGGAAGAATCACAGGCGTTGCATCTGCCATCCTTGCCATTTCAGGGTAACTCACCCAAAAGGGAGCTGGAATAAGAACCTGTCCCACGTATGTGGGTTAATAAGCTGACAAACTTCAGAAAGAAGTATTTCTTATATCTCACAACTAACAAACAATCTTCATTACAGTAACTGTGATTCTGTGTCAACACTGATTTTTGTCCGAAAAATCAAACCGCTTAGCATCCATATTTGATGGGGGGAAACTAAAAAGTATCCAACCATATCTTCTGCATCTGACATTCTTTAAGATGGAGAAAAGACAAATGGACTGCACTTCACCAAATAAAAGTTCTTTTTTTCAGGGGGAAATGCAAACTGATAGAAGTAATGGTACTTACATTATAATTCATGTCTCAATTAAACCAACTTTAGTATTTTTCCCAAGAGATTATTAAATAATAGAGAAAAGGAAAAATGTGCTGGCAGTTCCTTTTATGAAG